CACCCCCCCCCCCCCCTGCCCTTTCACCAGACGGCGGCGTCGGACGGAGTGAAGCTGTGGGATCTGCGTAAGCTCAAGAACTTCCGCACCTTCGCGCCCTTTGAGGCCAGCACGCCCACCAACAGCGGTACGTACGCGCAAGCAACATGCTGTGGTGCTGTGGTGCTGCTGGTGGGAAGGGCCCACTCGCTTTTGGCTTGTTTCCACCCCGTTGCTGCTCACGCATCACGTCAACCCACCCAACCCATTACACTCGTCCCCTTGTATTGGGCATCTTCCCCCCCCCCCCACATCACTTCCTTTTCTCTTCAAAATGGCACGTGCTGTCCGTCACACACCTTTTGCCCTTGTCTGTCTGTCGCTCCTCTCCCCCCTTCCATCCCACCCTTCTCGCCGCCCTCCTTCCTTTCCCCAGTCCGCTTTGACTTCAGCGGCTCCTATCTTGCCATGGCTGGCTCAGACGTCCGGTAAGCTGGCTCGGCTCGGCCTATGTCACAGGTTACACCGTTACAGGATTGTCTTTGGAAAGGTGCACATGCTAGACTCTTTTGTCACAGTGTCATGAGGAGGCATGAATGTAAACATGCGAGACCCTCTTGGAACCTTTCCCCTCCACATGCACATGCTAGACTCTCTTGTACGGAATCATGTTCCCAACCCACCTCTTCACATGCTGTATCCATGCTGTGTCTTCGCCGTATCCACTTCACTTCCTCACACCGGCGTGCTGCCGGCTCTAAAACAATGCTGTTCTCTTGACTCACCACCACCCACCATCTCCTCCTGACTGCCCTGGCACTGCAGTCTCTCTCGCTCTGTGCGCTGTGGTCTATTCACACAGCTCATTTGCCACCTGTAAACTACATCTCTTTTTCGCTTCGAAGCAAATATGAAAAGCATCTCCATGCTAACCCGCCCTCTCTCTCTCCCCCCCCCCCCCTCCCCCCTCTCCGCCCCCCCCCCTCCGTGCTGTCGTCCACATCCTCTTGTTGCTTTTCCAATCCCTGTGTGCCTGCAGTGTGATTCAAGTGGGCACTGTGAAGCAGGAGTGGAACTCGATAAAGACCATCCCCGACCTCTCAGGCACAGGTCAACACCCTCCCTCCCTCCTCCTTTCTTCCCTCCCTCCCCACACCTGCACCCTTACCTCTCGTCCTCACCCTTTCCTCACTCTCCTCCTCTCATCCTCTCTCCCCTCACCATCGACATGTTTTCCTCAGCCTCCTCTCTTTTGAGTCGACTCAAAAGCAGACTCATAACACGCGGTTTTTACATTGATCATATACCTGCACCCGTTCCCCCCTCACCCTCAACCTCGTCCTCCCGTCTCCTCTCCCCTCACCCTCGACACGTTTCCCTCAGCCTCCTCTCTCCACTCACTCACACCCATTACCTCACCTTTCATCTCATCTCTTGCGTCTCTCTTCTTTTTCCCACCAACCCCACCTCTCCCCGCTTCCGACGCATATTCTCTCTCCTCCCTTTTCTCGCCATGCATCCCTATCCACTACTTATCCACTACTCTCCCTTGTGGCACTCTCATTCCCTCCCTTCTTCTCCCTACCCGCTGCATTGCAAGTCCCCCTTTGTCCCTCTCCCCCCCTTCCCACGTTTGCTCGCCATTTCTCCCTGCCTTCTCCCGCTCACCCCCAGCTCCAACCCTCCTGCACGTTTGCTGCATGCCCATGCTTGTGCCCATGCCTGTGCCCATGCCTGTGCCCATGCCTGCCTGTGCCCATGCCTGTGCCCATGCCTGTGCCCATGCCTGTGCCCATGTCCACTTCCAAGCAAGGCGGCTTGTGCCATGTTTGGCCCTGACGCCTCGTACCTGGCGTTTATGGACTGCTGCCACTGCCGCTAACAACGCTGCCTCTGTGGCACACTATTCTCTCCCCCTCTCCTTTCAACCCTCCCCCCTCCTCCCCCACTCCCTTCCATCCCCCCTCCCCCCCCCCCCCCCCCTCTCTTCTTCAAACTCCCCTCGCTCGCAAGATGACGTGTCCGGAGTTTGGTCCAGATGTGTCGTACGTTTGAGTGAGTCGACTCACAAGTCTGTGCCGTCTATGCGCCGCAACCATGGCTGCAAACAACGCCGCTGGTGCCGCCCCTCTCCTCTCCTCTCAGCCCTCCCCCTTCTCCTCTTCCCCTCCCCCCCTCCCCCCACCTCTCTCCCCCCCCCCCCCCCAATGTTTCCCCCTGTTGGCAGGCAAGGTGACATGTGCGGAGTTTGGTCCAGATGCGTCGTACCTCGCAGTGGCGTCGATGGACCGCAACCTGCGCATCTTCGGCCTGCCCTCCTCGCAACCCGCTGCTGATGGGGATGGGGATGCTCATGCTGCTGCGCAGGAGAGCTGAGGGGTGGAATAGGGTGGAGTATTTGAAGAGGGTTGATGAGGTGTGGAGAGAGATCAGAGGCGATGGCTGTCATGAAGGGAAGCATGGAGGAACCGTGGAGTGGGTGTGTGTGGTGGTGGTTGGGGAGAAGGGGAGGGGGAGCGGGGAGGGGGGCAGAGGTGGCTGGATGAGACTTATTTTCCCTTGAGAAGGGACTCGGGAATTGGTATCGCCACCGGCATCGGCACTGGCACTGGCTCTGGCTCTGGCATGGAATCAGCTTTTGAGGCCCCTCATAAGCACTGGTTCTGGCTCTGGCACGGAATCAGGAGGGAATCAGGGTGACCATTGGCCATCTCTCATCACAGAAATGCTGCATGAACCTGGCGTCTTGTGCCCGAGTCTTGAGGCCCGATCCGATTTCTGGATTCACATTTTCTGTCTGCCCTTGTTCCGCCCACCTCTTCGTTGTGCGTCACTTCGCTGCAGCAGCAGTGCTGCTGCAGGGATAATGGGTAGGTGGAAAGGTGGAGCAGGTCAGGGAGCAATTTCGAGTTGCGGAGGGTTGAAGGGGGACTGGCATGGCAATGTCTTGGATTCTGTGATGGTCTTAACAGTCCATTGCTGTCTGTCTCTGTCACTCCCTTGCTGTCTTGAATTGGGGGGCAACTTTTGTTCCGTTCTAATCTTCTGTGCTGTGGTAGACAATATGTTAGGGTAACTGCTCTGTGACTGGTCGTTCTTAGGACATTATAGCGTTGTAACAATGACATAGAATCGATTAACTTCGAGCATACCAAACCACAACATTTGAGTGTTAAATTCGTTGGTGGCACCACATCATGCACGTTCCTGGGAGGGCCGCCCGCATGGCATGTATTCCCCTCACGTGTCATCCAATCTGTCTGTGCCTAGCCCGCTGGTGTCTCTTGTTGCTTGGCGGACGGTAGGGCATAAAGCACAACTGGGTGAGGTAGGTGCACGCATAGAAATAGGGAGCCCCCTCAGGACAGGGAAAAGTGGGGGGGAGGAAGAAGGGGGGAGAAGGGGGGAGAAGGGGGGAGAAGGGGGAGAAGGGGGAGAAGGGGGGAGAAGGGGGGAGAAGGGGGAGCGGAGGAATCAGTGGTGGATGGTACTCTTCGGAAGCAATGTGAGGGAATGTATGTATAACCAGAACACGGACATGGCAGCTCACCTCGTCGCCGTTCTCCAGTCCGAGGTGAAGCAGTGGAGTGCTGGGAGCATGCAAGGGAAGGGGATGGCCGTCGACCGCCAGGCATGCATGCGACCAGATGTGGCGCCTGGCGGACAGCAGTGATGGGGGGAGAGGAAGAGATGGGAGTAGAGCAGTGATGGGAGGAAAGGAGGAGGAGATATGGAGGAGTTGGAATTTGAGATGAGATGCCTCAAAACACCACCAGATGTGACGCCTATAGGGCTGCAGGCTATGGCAGGAAGGGAAGGGGAAGTAGCGGAGACGAACAGGCTCAACGGCTGAAGAGCAGGAGAAAATGATAATCAAGAGAGAGGAGGGGGGTGGGGAAGGAGGAGAGGTGAAAAGTTGCTTCGCTCCCCACCTCCCCCCACTGAACACACGTGCATGCACTCCCACACACACGCGCACACTCCCCCTCCCCCCCCCCCCACACACATGCAAGCATGTACCATTACCATGAAATCCCTCGTCTGTTTGTCTGCCCTTCCCAGTTGTCCCCTTTCTCCTGCTCCTGCTCCTCCTCCTCCTCCTGCTTCTCCCCCTCGTACCTCTCGTACCCATCGTCCTCCTGAAGTCCCCTTCTTTCCCCTGTGCCCCTCTCTTCTCGCCCCACTCTCTCTCCTTCACCACCCTCCCTTGGCTCCTCTACCCTCCTATCCCTACTACGCACCTGCTCACTCCTCCCTTTACTCTCTCTCCCTTCCTCCCTTCCCCCCCTTCCCTCTCTTTCATCTCTCTCCTCGCCATCTCCCTCCTCCTTACCTTCCCACCTCCTCTCCTCCCCCACTCCGTCACCCTCCCCCCACCCACGTCTCCTCCTCGCCCTCCTCTCCCCCCCATCCCTCCCCCCATCTTTCCCCCCATCTCTCCCCCCATCTCTCCCCCCATCTCTCCCCCCATCTCTCCCCCCATCTCTCCCCCCATCTCTCCCCCCATCTCTCCCCCATCCCTCCCCCCCTCTCTCCCCCCATCCCTCTCCCCATCTCTCCCGCCATCCCTCCGCCCATCCCTCCCACGATCTCTTTCCCCGTCCCTCACTTCACGCATCCCTCCCTCCCCATCTCCCCCATCCTCGCTCCACCTCTCCGGCCGAAACCACCCTGCTTGCCGCCCCTCTCCCTCCACCCATCGCCGTGTCTCTCTCTCAACTGCCGCCTTCAGCTCGCCCACTGTGGCTGACTGCCGCACCACCACCGCTGGAGGGGGGGGAGGGGGGGAGGGAACACGCAGATCCTGCAGCTGATTCTTTGTGCCTTTATGCTGCCATGCTCGAGTGTCTACGTCGCACCGGTTACAAAAGGAAAAGAGATCAGGCGGAAAGCAAAAGCACAGAAACAAAAAAGGAAGCGATTCTGGTGCCTCCGTGTCCCTCCCACCTGCAGCGCCTCCTCAAGAGAGGCTCTCTTCCGCTCCTTTCTTCTCTCCATACTCGCCGCCATAACGGCTCTCTTCCCCTTCCGTCCTCTCACCATACTCGCCGCCATCTAATCGCTTGATTCGCAGCCGCATCGCGCCGCCAGTTTCCGCCGCAATCAGCGTTTCGACTTCTTCCAGTGACACGTCAGCCGCCACGTCAGCGAGCAGCGGGTCTTTCAGCAGCTCCTGAAGCTCCTTCCGCTGTTCAATCCATTCCTCCGCCGCGTCGCGCGCAGCGGCCGAGCGGTCGCAGCGCCCTTGGCTGGGTCTGAGCATGCCGTGTTCTGTTTCGCGCGGCGGCACGCGGCGTGGGGATCTTCAGTCTGATGCGCGCCGATGTGGCGTTAGGGCGTGGTAGTTACAGTTCCGAACAGCTTTCGTACGACTTCCACCACACTGTACCACGCAGTTATCTTAATGCAGTACGTCAAAACCGTTTTGAAAATCACTCTACACTTGTCCTCCGCCAATTTCTCTGGCGGTAACTTCTCAGGTTTTGTCGCTTCTTCTGACCAGCTGCCAGATCCTGCTCAAAATGTATGGGAAAGGTTCAGTTCAGTTCGCCATGTCAGCTACCTGCTAGGCATCATCGCGGAATTGCAGCCGTTGGTGGGAGCTGAGGCTCCTCACAACTCGAAAGGATGCGATTGCTTGAAAAAACACGTGGGGCATTGTGAAGAGTCGATGAGGATTCTACCCTTCTCACAACCGTACGATTTCTCAAAGGTGCTGAGACAATGGGAAATGATCAAAAAGGACCTCGCTTTGCCAGAGGCATGAGCAAAAAAGGTCCAGCTACTTTCTGCTGCAGGGACCTCGCCTCTGAACCTCAAATACACTCCTTCCTTTGTTTAGTACTTCAAACATTTTTGGGACGTTTGCGTTACCAGTCAACATTTCTCAAAGGGCCAAAAAACTAAAACCCATTGGGGACCTAATTCCGTTCGGGATGGCATCAACCCAGGAATATATGACGCGCGTTCTGTTCCAGCGGACAAACCCCCTCCCGGACTTGGGCAGTAACACCATAGAACACAAACCGGACCTGAACGGACCTGACTCACTGCGCAAATGATACATCTCTAGATATATGACCGCACTAACCTTTAAACACCACTCAACCTCTATCAGTTGGTGGTGCTTTCGCCAACCTCGTCGAACGACGGTAACGACGTCGCAGCACGCCGCGGTTCCCGTCGCGAGCGTCGTGTGGGAGGGTATATTTTCGCATTGAGACACTGTCGCCGAGTTCGAGCCTGTACAGTTCGGGGGAGTTGTACTAGAAGCATATAAATAGTTGTATGCTTTGGTTCTGCATCCATTTATTAAAATGGAGAATAGAATTGCCCCACGTTTTGCATTTAAATTTGTGCGTTTTTTTATACCAAAATCACCTCGCAGGAGTTCCTCCCAGTACTTTTGCAATGTGTAGAAGGTGTTTCCAAACTTTGTGAAACTCAACATGTCGAAGTTGAGGTGGCATAAAAAGACAACACATGCCCAACACTCTCATTTCATATTATGGAGTGCAGGGTCACCAGAACAAGCCATAGTTTTTTAGGGAATTTGGCTGTTCACACAATTACGAGGCTTCCAGCAGTGTGCTATTTGTTTCAGGTTTAGAAAACTGTCTATTTCATTGAAACAAGATGGAACTTTGGGGAGCCCAACCTCTTGATAAAACATAGTAGCATTTTCACGATTGTGCGTCATCTCTAGCGAGGTTTGAAGTGACCTGGAGGTAGCCCTATGCAAGACCTACCTCCTGTTCAAATTTGGGCCCATTTGGTTCGCGAAATTGGGCTGTGGGCCTTTTTAATATCCCTAGGGGGGTATTTTTTCCCAACCTTACCCCTTGATAAAACATACTGTCACTTTCACAATTGTGCATCATTTCTAGCAAGGTTTGAAATTACCCGGATGTAGCCCTATGCAAGACCTACCTCCAGTTCAAATTTGGGCCCCTTTGGTTTACGAAATTGGGCTGTGGGCCTTTTTTAATATCCCAAGGGGGGTATTTTTTTCCAAACTTACCCCTTGATAAAACATACTGTCATTTTCATGATTGTGCATCATTTCTAGCGAGGTTTGAAGTGACCTGGAGGTAGCCCTATGCAAGACCTACCCACATTTCAAATTTGAGCCCTTTTGGTTCACGAAATTGGGCTGTGGCCCTTTTTTAGTATGCCTAGGGGGGTATTTTTTCCCAACCTTACCCCTTGATAAAACATACTGCCATTTTCGAGACGAGATGGAGAGGGTGCTGCCCAACATCGCCAAAGTCTGCATTATGGTGGCCAATCGCTTGGTGCTCGTGCTCAATCGCTTCTGCGGCCTTGGAGAAGAAAGGCCATCCCCATCTTATCATCATCAAGGAAGAGCGCAAGAAGAGGAAGCAGATCGAGGAACCATCTGTAGCCGCTGCTCAGGAAGATTAGCGCCTTATCGGGCCGGCTTCTGTTCGTAGAGTAGCAACTTGTACCATATATAGTGACCTATTGTGCACGTTCTGGGCTATGCAATCTCGTAGAAACTCCTTGTACATATGTCTCTCCTCATGTGTAGGATATGCGTGTGTTGTTTGTTGTCTGTACACGCCTACGGTGTGTATGTTTTTTTGCTAGATTCTAGTTTCCTTCTCACAAAAGCTAAGCTCCTAATCCACAAAAAGATCCACAGAAAACAGATCGGCGATCCGCCAAAAAATCCATACGACAAAGTTGCCGACTTACCACACGTACTCTACATACCGAATTTACGAAGCTAAGTAGTCTGCAGGTTCCGAGTCGGCAGACGACTACTTGGCGGAAGGCTCTCCTCCAACGGCACGGAGAAAGCCAGCCATTCACGCTATCCAAACCAACCCTCTGCCCAGGTGGTGTCCCGTAGACCAGCCTTGACGAGATGGAAGGTGATATGCATTTGCTTCTCCAACTTCTCTTTGCTTTCGCCTGTAGCGGGCCGCGGCTTCTTCAGCTGTAGGTTTGTCTCTTTTGTCTGCCGAACATCACAGAGGATGAGTCCCTCGGTCATTGCTGATAGCATGCTCTTGGCCAATATCTTGTCGAGTTGCGTGACGACAGTTGTTCTGTCGAGGTCTCTTCTACAAAGAAGTCCACAGCGTCCATGAGAATCTTCATTCTCCGCATCTTCTTGGTGCTCGCATCTGCTGAATTTGCGTCCTTCCCCTTCTTCTTGCCTGCTGCAGAGGTCGCCCCTGCAGCCTTGCCCATCTTGAAGCCCTCCTCCACCTCTGTAGAAATCGACTCTGCGGCATTATCCGTCGACAGAGTTCGAGGCCGCTTTGCCTTTGGCGTGGAGTCTGCAGACTTGCTGCCCATCTGTTGGTTTTGTCCCAAAATCAAAGGCGTCTCGACAGGCGTGCCCTTCTGCGATGAATCCACAAACTTGCCAAACTTGCAGAAAAAACCTCTCTGCGAGCTGACCGCTTCTCGCAGACTTCTTCCTTTGACTAGCGGGTTTGGCCCGTCCCAGTACGGCCATGCATTGTCGATGGTCTTGCTGTCCCCCCATGGCCCTACAACGGCGTCGTAGTACGCCTGGTCCCCTGGTGGTGGAGCACCTGCCACAGATGCGGCCGCAGAGAACTTCCTCGTCACGCCAGACGCATTCTCCAGTGCATCGTAGGCCCGCTTCAGCGTGGCGTACGCCTCATCCTTCTCCAAAATGATCGCATCCTTTGCCTCGATCGTCGCTTTCATCTGCCTATTCTCCTCTGCCAGACGGTCCTTCTCAGACCCCAGCTTTCCCGCGTCCTTGCGCAGAAGCGTCATCTGGGCATTTAACTGATTGATCGTATGATCCGCCTTCATCCGTTTGAGAATCTCCTGCAAAAAGGGGAAAGCGCGTCACCAAACGCTCTGCAGGAATGGTGGGTTAGAATGTTAGTAGACGCCAAAAAGTCTTACCGCTTCTGTCGACAAGGTGATGTCTGATCGAAGCCTGATCCCGTATGCGTCCCTCGACGCCACTTCAATGGCCCACGTTTGGAACAGCGTCTCATTGCAGAGTTTGGAAGCCTGGACGTATGGATGTCGCGGACAGGTACAAGGATGCGCGCCTCCCGTGAAGGGATGCTTGTCGCAGTGGACCCACATCATGGCTAGAACTTCGACCACAATCGTGTGCCCAACATCCTTCAGGCTGTTCAAAAAATTGGCGCCGGCAATGTGGATGCCGTCTGTAGATTTGTCCTTGTTGAACTCCTGGACCTGCAAGATTTCCGACCCGAAAAAGCCATTGTTAAGGTCAACAGAAACGCTCCCATAGATACGGTCCCACTGACACGCACCCACAGGAACGCTCCCACAGACACCACACTACAGATACGTTCTCACAGAAACCACACCACAGTAACGTTACCACAAACGTAGTCACAGAAACGATCTCACAGAAACGCACCCACATAAACTTTCCCACAGATACGCTCCCACAGATAACCTCCCACAGATACCCTTCTACAGAAACACTCCCACAGAAACGAACCAACAAATACGCTCCCACCGAAACCAAACTATGGAAACCACACCTTACATTCACTCCAACAGAAACCGCACCACAGAAATGGTACCACAGAAACGATCTTACAGAAATGCACCCACATAAACTTTTGCCACAGATACGCTAGCACAGATAAGCCACGACATAAACGCTCACAGAAACGCCCCCACAAATGCGCTTCCAACGAGACGTTGACATACAAGTGCTCCCAAGACAAATACAAAGCCACAAAGCATCTGCGAATGCGATTCAGACCCGCAGAAGTGACCGTACCTTCTTCAATTCGCCCTCCAGCCACGGGTAAATGTGCTGAATGAACAACTCTTCCAAACCGTCTGACAGAGGGACGTCGTGTCTTCCATTGTAACAGTCTCCCTCCACGCTGCTGAATCCAGCCAGCAGAAAGAGAGCTTGTCGTGGAGGTGAGACGAGGTAGCACTTGCGCATCTCATTCTGCTCCCATCCTCCCAGATGTGCAATCTGCAGTTCTGGATAGAGAAGATCGCAGAGGATGTGTACAGCGGATCTTGTGAAGATGTGGGTGACCTTGCTCAGCAACCACTTGGCCGCTTTTATCGCCCAACCGACCCACTTGTTGTGCGTCTTGTACGGCAGCTCCCCCTGCTTGGGGTCGTCCAGGGCGAAGAAGAGGTGCTTTGACGACCACTTCGTCGGGTGGGAGAAGTCGAGAGGCTTAATTATCTCCCTCTTATCGTCCTTGTAGTACAGATGCATGAGGTCGTACACCCAGTGGATCCACAGAAACACGGCACCCATGGCACACTGCTGCCAGTAGAGGCTACACGTTAGAAACTGGTGGTCCAACTTGTTGTCGTGCACAACCTTCGACTTTCGGCTCGCTATGACGAGGACGGGCACCTTTGTGGGGGCGGCAGAC